TACATATTCTTGATTAAAATACGCGTCGTTTGCATTTTTGAAAATTAAAATCCTTCAATCCGTTCAGAAGTTATGACATTTTAAAGATCCGCATGAAATTTTCGGACAACATTTCTGGCCATAAATTACATTTTCGGTTAGGAATTTTTTTCTCGAAAGTGCGTAGGAATTCGTGGGTATATGTATTAACCAAAAATGATTGTAATTGGCCCCCGCAACCGAAAATAATTTTTTCCTGGAGGATTTGAAATTTTTTAATTTAATTTTTTAATAACTTTTTAACGAAGGCTCAATCAACAAATTGGTATTCTTGTATTTTTCCCGATTTTGTCCTCTAGAAGTAGTGCAAGCCTACAGTGCTTCATTAAAATCAAAGTTAGAACGGCTACTACCATAATGGATGTGCGCGCAAGATGTAAATCATCAAAATCTGCAAAACTGTAGGAGGCAATTTTAAAAAATCGCATACCAATGGATTTGGAATAAAATGCTCGTCATTTTTTGTCATTATGAAAATTTCAATAAAATGAAAAATTAAGTTAATAAATTTTTTTTTGTTATAAACAAATTGTATTTTTTTAAATTTTTTAACACCATGTTATTGTACATAAGAAACCATCAACCTCGCCCATTAACAATTTTTTTGTATGTCTTTCCGTTTTCGAGATAGCCGTTTCGAGCCAAAACTTCAAGGGGTGGTTTCACCCCTTAAACTCGAGTTACCGCAGCTAAAAAAAAATACGTGTCGATTATTTTTGGCTGCTTTATAAGTGTACAAAGTTTCATCAAAATCGAAGCCGGACCGTTCGCGATGGTTCCTTGTCAGTCCGAAGTTGCGCTGCAGTTTTTATTTCCTTTGCTGCTGACCTCATTAATAATGAATATTGTCTTCTGGTCAATTTTTTATTTCCACCTGTAGGGTGTTTCTGATCATATGTGTAGGATCAGAAGTGTAAAATCTGCCTTTTTTGTAATTCACATGCGCGAATTGGAAAGAAACACAATCAACGTATAAATTAATTATAATTGAAACACAACGTATCAACGTATAAATTAGTTATAATCGAAACACAACGTATAAACGTATAAATTAGTTATAATCGAAACACAACGTATAAATTAATTATAATCGAATCACAACGTATCAACGTATAAATTAGTTATTATCGGAACACAACGTAATATGTAACGTAATGGACGTTCGTAGCGTAATCTTCGTGATCGACGTTCACTCTCAAAAAAGCCCCACTCTTTCCCGGACTCGCGCTTTTATCCTCCAGCTCCCGAACACTTGCCGGTTTCACGTCCGGTCATGTTTCGAGAACGTTCTCGTCGTTTCGTATCAATATCGCGTTACCATAGTCCATGTACTCATACATTCAATCATGCAATCATTTAGAGTCGACACATTCATGTAGTTCAGTCATTCCAGAACGTTCTTGACATTTTCCATAGTTCCTCATCCGGTATTACTTCTCGAATATTCCTAACGTTACCAAACATTCCGTCTCTAAGGTCATTGCACTCATACATTCAACCATTCACTCAGAATCGACACATTCAGTTCACTCAGTCATTCCCTGCGATCGATACGATACAACGAAGAACGCTCATCTCCTACATATGCTTCGCCCAAGTTTACATAGTTATTAACTAGAGTACGTGACCTATTAATTATTTCAGCAATGAATCGATTAGAACACCCCATATCTTTATAAGCATCAATGGATGCCTTCTCTTCACTAGTTAATAACTTCCCTCGTGGCATTCTAATAAAAATAAATTTAAATATATTATACAGGGTATGTCACCTAACTTGAACACCTTAAATATATCGCTTATTTTGTATGATAGAAAAAAATGTCAAGGGGAGAAAGTATTCTGTTCGAAGGCGCCAATGCGGTGATGGATCGAATTTTTTTCGAGATTTCAAGGTCATCGTATTTTTTTTAAATGGGACCACATATTTTCGCTACAACAGTCGTATAGCTTATAAAAAGACGAATCCAACGATGTGCGATATGTTGACCTTCACGTGACCTTTAGCGAAGGAATTATGAAATGTTTGTCAGTAACTTCAGTACGCGTTCGAAGACGGTAAATGAAGGAATTTCAATTTCATTGAAACAGTCTTAAATTAAATGTTTATTTTAGAAGGTGTTCAAAATGTGCACCATGAACCTGGATACATTTTTGGAGGTGGTAAATAAATTCTTGCTGAACATTTTTCAGTTGTTCTACAGTAATTGATCTACATGCATGTAGAATCCTTTGTCGCATGTTTTCTGCTGTTGTGGGAAGGTGCCACCACAGAAAGAAATCAAGTGGCCTAAGATCCGGCGATCGAGCTGGCCAACAAATTCGTGCACCACATCCTATCCAACGATGGGGAAAAATTCTGTTTAATACATTGCGTGCGACGAGTGCATTATGAGCTGGACAGCCGTCATGTTGATACCACATTTAATGTTCCTTCGATAAAGAATGGGCCAATAACTCGGTGGTTGATTATACCGCACCACACATTCACACTCCATGGACGCTGATTCTGAATTTGCCTCAGCCAATGTGGGTTTTCCGCAGACCAATAGTGCATATTGTGCTTATTTGTTTGCCCGTTATTCGTGAATGTGGCCTCATCGGTAAATAATACATAATCAAAAAAATTTTGGTTATGGTTCTGCACTTGATTCAATGCCCAGTTGCAGAAGACACGTCGTTTTTCAAAATCGCTATCATCAAAAAAATGAAACATGATATGGATGGAACTGGTTGCGATTCAAAATTCGCCACACGCTTGTACGAGACATGGCAGACTCGGACGCAATCTGTGAGCAGCTGATATGCGGGTTTGCTTGTACTGCAGCTAAAACTGCGATTTCAGCTTCTTCGTTAGTTTTAATTTTAGTACGATTACGTTTACGTAAAACGACACTGCCTGATTCAGTAAATAATTTTACTATGCGGTCAAAATGTCGTCTGGAAGGAACGCGACGATCAGGATGTCTTTCTTCATACAACCGTTGTGCATATGTACGTTGAGTTCCTTCCTGCTTCTCCGTAGATTAAAATCATTTCCACTTTTTCTGCTGTAGTGTACATGATGGAGAATCTTATTACACTGCTATCGATACCGCAACTTGTTGTGTACGTCGCGGCTTTTTGACAACGCGCTATTGACCCGCTTCGGTCATTCCCCTCTTACAATAATAATGCTTGTAAACATACTTCAACCGTTGAAAGGAGAATATGAATATCTATTTATAAGCACCAGAGACAATTACACGGTACACTGTTTCAATGAAATTGAAATTCCTTCATTTACCGTCTTCGAACGCGTACTGAAGTTACTGACAAACATTTCATAATTCCTTCGCTAAAGGTCACGTGAAGGTCAACATATCGCACATCGTTGGATTTGTCTTTTTATAAGCTATAAGACTGTTGTAGTGAAAATATGTGGTCCCATTTAAAAAAAATACGATGACCTTGAAATCTCGAAAAAAATGACCTTGAAAAAAAAATTCGATCCATCACCGTATTGGCGCCTTCGAACAGAATACTTTCTCCCCTTGACATTTTTTTCTATCATACAAAATAAGCGATATATTTAAGGTGGTCAAGTTAGGTGAAATAAGCTGTATATCAGCAGTCTTAAGCAAGATTCTGAGAAAGGTGTACTGTGACTTGTTTTCTGTTTGTTCGAACATTTGATCAATTGTTTGAGTCACTGTAACTACCTTAGTTTGCTTTTAGTTAAATGTTGAAATTTATTGAAATTTATTCGTTGCTAAGTGGAAATATTTCTGCTATTATGTTAAAAAACGCGATTATGCGATTATTAAAATCGGATTTTCGTCGAAATTGGAACTCCCCTATGTATCCGGAATAATGATATTCACGTGTTCCATAACGCGGAACGTTTGCTCGTGTTTCCCGCCAAACACGTTCGATATTTTGAGTGTGTGCCCCTGTATCCGGATCAACAAAGTTGATTTTATGATTCACTCTCAAGTGTCTGTAGCCTTCTTCATTTAAACAATTGTAAGATTTCCAACAGTCCGACATGATTGTTGTTCCTGGTTTAATCCATTTTTTTATAACGGAAAGTAGAGTTTCGCAAGTTCGATTTGGTACTGGTTCAATGAAAACTTGCTTACTATCTCGTTCAATTCCTCCAAACACCCACTGTCCAGTAACAAGACGGCCCTTGTTGTATTTACGCTTGCCAATCTTAGCTTCGTCAATTTCGACGACTTTGTTTTCGCCTCCCATTTGAACCGAAGATTTTTCGACCCATAATTCACACAACTCTCTGCAAAAGCTTGCCCAATCAACTGCTGTGTGTGAAGAAATACCTAATTCTTGTATCAAAAATGTTTGTCTGGGTGGCCGAAGCATTACATGGTATGCAATAAACCGACAAATATTTTGAATTGGCATGTGTATATTTTCAAACCAGGTATTGTGAAGTGCACTAATTCTTGACATACACTGTTGTTTTACGCGTTTCTTGTTTCTGTTCAATCTATAGAAGGTGTTATAACACGCAAACACTAATGTTTCACTATTAAACGTCATTTCCGTTTTGCATTTCGCGCAATTCATCCTTCCATGAATTACTTTTTGTTCAATTAAAAACTCCAGCAAATTGTTATAATCATTGCAGATATTTAAAAATTCGTACAATTTCATTTTAACCGTTTGACTGCTAAGTAATTCTTGCAAGAACGCACGAAAACTGCGGGACATATTTTGACTTGATGTCAAATAAAACACTCATTTAGACAAATATCAATCAATTTTAATAATTCTTTTCGTATTATAAAGAAACAATATTAATTGTGGTTGTGAATAAGAAAAAATAAACATTAAATTGTTTTCTTTGAAAATTACTAAATAATAAAAAGATAACTTAAAGTTTATTGATCTTCTCTTATGATCAGCACGTAAAGGATCATTTTGATTAGGGGAAGTTCACTGACTCTTACATGAGAAATTTATGTATAACAACTATGTTTTGCCGCACAATTAGCGTGAAGGCCTTTTTTACAACAAGCGCAAATAAGGCGGGATCGCCTGATCCCGCTCCTTCTGTTGCTACACACCGCACATTGTCGTAAGTTACGTCCCGGTAATTTTTCAAGCGCAAATTTTTTGGTTGATGAAGATGGTTGTGTTGACACGCTATTTTTATGATTCATCCACTCCTTTTCGATATCGTCAATAATTTTCGATGTGAATTTGAGCCGGTTCATTTTTTTTTTTTCGGTAGTGTTGGAAACATACAAAATATAAGAGTTCAGCACCATTCTTCCAAACATGTTGAATACTACTTTTTTCCAATATTTTAGGGTTCTTCGCTCGTCTAAATACGCGTATAACATTTTGTCGCACTCGTCTACACCTCCCATGTATTTGTTGTAGTCATCAATCATGCTTGGTTTCGTCTTTTCGTATTCAAAATTCCCTTTCTTTTTCTTGATCGTCAGACTATTAGTATCCGAGTTGGATGAAATCAATATGACTGGGTTTGGTTTGGACTTTTTGTCCCTGAAAGAGCACATCAATACATTTTCATGTGCCATGTATTTCGCTTCTCCTACGATTGCTTTCTTAGCTTCTGGAGGGATCTCTTTTCTGTTACGTCTAATTGTTCCAGTTAGATATGTATTTTGTTTCAAAAGGGCTTTGGCCAAACGTAAGCTTGTGTAAAAATTATCTGTAAACAGATGATAGCCTTTGTGCAGATAATTTCCAATTGAAAGCAATTTTTGCGCAACCGTAAATCCAAGACCATATTTTTGTACTAAATCTCTGTCATCTGTATTTTTAGCTCCTTTGTAGCAAAAAAAACCCAAGCAATATTTAGAAATCGAGTCGCACAACATCCAAAATTTGATCCCCCATTTATGGTGTTTTTTGTTTGGGATGTATTGTTTTATGGCAGAATGACAGTGAGTACCAACTAACGACTCGTCGATAGATAATTGTTGATTTGGTACATAATGTCGCTGAAATACAGTATTTGCATGTTTGACAAGCATATCAAACCTGCCACATGGGTCATAATTCGGATGGCCTGGTTCAAATAATAACGTATTGTCAATCAAGTGAAAAAACTTCAAAATCAGTTGAAACCTATCCCTTGAAAACATTGTCCTAAACCATGGTATATGTCGGGAACCTTTTATCCAATAACTATCAATTGTTGGCCTTCTCGTAATCCCCATTTCGAGTAAGACTGCAATAAAGGCTTTTATTTCGTATATTGTTGTCGGCGTCCACTTTTTTGCTCGAGAATTATTCGAAACAGTGTGCGAGGCAAAAAACTGGGTAGCATATCGATTTGTTTCCCTTACGAGGAAAAAATAAATTGAAATATGTTATGGGTGTAGCATCTGGGGGAGGCGCACATCTAGGTCCAGGAGTCTCGACAAAATTATTTGTTGCTTTGGAAAACACATTTGTCGGAGGAATATTCGTAAAAGTTGGTGTTTCTTCTGTTTCTGAAGATGAAGATGAGATAGAAGACTCACTTTCAATCCTCAGTCTTTTTCTTTGATGAGTTATAATAATGCTATCATCACTACTTGTGTCTGTTCTTTCACCATCCTCAGAATCACTAGCAATCGAATCAACGTCCGAAATAATAGCCCGTGACATGGTTATTTTTTAAAAATAATATATAAAAACGGTAAAAAGTTATTTTAAAATGCACTCGTGTTACAAAATACGCGTGAGGTCAGACTATGTTCACTCCCACGGAGCAACAAAGACACACTGAAACTCGCAGCGCAAAAGCGCTGCGTCGCGGTTTTCGAGACAAATGAACGCAGTGCTTTTGCGCCGCGTAGCAGTCAAACGGTTAATGAGGGTGTCTATCCAATGTAACTCCCTCAGTTTTCGTTCTTCAAGGCTTTTCGTGGCTTGATCAATCGGTAACTCTTGTGAAGTTTCTAACTCCGTTACTGCTTCTTCTTCTCGGTGCTGCTGCCGTTCGTCTCCTCTTTCTATTTCTTCTTCTATGTCTGCTTCCCCTTCTTGTTCCGTAATATCCATGTTTTCCACTTGATCCAATAATAAAAAGAAATCGTTTAACAGTTCCTGATTAATTGGTTCGCCATTTATTGTTTGGATTAGTTCGCTTATTTCCGAATCTATTGTCGTGTTCAATACATCTTCCGAAGAATCCTCAGTCTTTTGTAAAAATTTTGTTCCAGCCATTCCTAATATCATTGCTGGTGACATCTTCCCAGGCATCGCGAACTAAAAATATGCAATCTTTTATTGTGAATCTAGAATAGAATTTGTTTGAGAGTCGTGAAATTGTAACAGTATAATTGCCGGTTAGGTGGAAGGGTCCGCAAAAAATGAATATGGTGCAAATGCTCAACAAGGTCTTTAATTCAACAACAACAATTCATAACGACAAATGAGTGACAACATGAGATTTGAGCTTGAGAAAATAGCAATATTATTGATTACTATTTTCAGCAGATCTGAGTTTGAATCGCAAGCGTTACTTTGAATAGTTCAACACGCAATACCGTTGCAATTTATTAATTCCGACGGTTTTACGCGCTGAGCCTTGTGTGAGGGATGAGAGACTTACATGAAACACAAATTAAACACTGTTGAGCACAAAGGAAATACTGAGAGTTACAATTAGCATATAGTTCACAAGGCTGTTCGAACAAGACTAGGACCATGGCCGCGCTCTTGGCCCCCACGAGGTATCGGCCGGCTGGCAAAAAGATCGTTGCGCGCGCACATCACTTATGTGCAAATGCCCATAATCGGCATAGGGCGCATCGCGCAGTTAGCTGGGCCAACTATCCTGCTCGTGCACAAAGCGTGCCCGAGAGGTGCTGCCAATGAGTGTCGTGGTGGCCAAAGCATGAGTGATTTCTCGGCCGTGGTCATGTGATGAATTAATTCTTGAACAGAATTCATTAAGTCCACCCGGAAATGTCAATACGTGGCGCAACATTTTGTGTCTGTAACGTTTTTTTAATTTTGCAATAATCCCTTGATCCATCGGTTGTATAATTGATGTAGTATTTGGAGGCAGACAAATAATTTCAAACTGTTCCTCTTCATCGTCTGTTTCAATTATGTGGCCTTGACAATTATCAACCAGCAAAATTGTCTTCCCTTGATATTTATTCTCCAATTGATGCTGTTTGACACTTGATTTAAAGTGGTTCTTATACCAGTCTGCAAAAATTTGTCTATTGACCCAAGCCTGCTTTTGGAACGTATAGACTATTGGCAACGTGCCACAATTTAAGGCTATTTATAAACAAATAAAAGTGGCAATTTGTGCGTTCCAGTCGTATTAGCACAGAAGCCAATAGTGACGCGGTCTTTTTTCATTTTTTTGCCTTTAATTTTCTGTTCTTCACCATGAACCAAAGTTTTCGAAGGAATAGCCTGCCACATTAAACCACTTCCGCCCATGTTGTAAATATTGTGTCCCTCGGTGCCTTCTTCCTCTACTTTCTTGGCAAAGTTAATTAAAAAACGTTCTGCACCCTCCTCATCTGCACTTTCTGCTTCCCCATGCACATGAAGTAGACGAATGTTGTGCCGTCTTTTAAATTTCGTCAACTAGCCTCTACTTGCCGTAAACGACGACGTTCCACCAATTTCGTTGTAAAGCTCCATTGCCTTTTCCTGAAGCTGGAGGTTCGACAGTGGATCTCCTAACGTTCGTCTTTCAAGGAACCACTTATACAAACTGCTATCAAGGTCGTCATGTTTTGGTTTCCTCTGGTTTTTCCATTGTAATATTTGGGACCCCTGATCTGCAAAATTACGGATATTCGTTCCTTCCCTACGAATTCTCCGAACTGTGCTTTCATGAACACCATATTCTTGGGCCAAAAATTTAACCGAAGCATCAAATTCTAAATTTTCTAAAATTTCAGTTTTTTGTTTCAGAGACAAAAAGATTTTCTTTAGAAAACACAAAGATAAACAGAGATAAACACAAAGATATAAAAGAAATGTGTATATTACACGATGTGCACCCGCGACCGTAACACACACAACACAACACACGCCATTACATGTACCGAATACGTGTGAGAGGGAATATCACATTCTGTCCTTCCAAAAATCGGTTCCGCCGAACGACGATCAAAAAATCCAGTTCTCGCTGCCCCATCCCCCTTGAGCGCTCGAGCGTGAAATCAAAGAAAGCCGAATAGACTACTCGTCTCTCAAGTTGCGTGCGCCCGGTCCCGACACGCGCGGCTATAGAGAGACAATACTGTAAGTACATGGTCGAGCGTCCCACCGTTTGTACCATGTCTTCGCGCGTCCCGTCAATGCGTGTGTTGCCAAGCTCAATCGCTGCTTCGGCACTTCCCTGGTGATCTCTTCAACTCGATCGCACCACCCTTTCCCATCGTCTCCTAAGTCCTCACCACTGAATTCCGGCACGACCGAAACGGTCAATAACGTTGCAGCTGACGCCGATGTCGAAGCACTGTCGAGCCGAGGTAGGCTAGTGATGGCCGCGTGGCGGTAAAACGCCGTGCACGTGTTGCCAATACACATTTTCTCGACCTGTGACAATTGAGAACGGCTTCTACACTTCTGTTCGACAGTTCCTTCTTCAGAAATGTCTGCAGAATCAGATCTTGTGTATAAATTTCGTGTCAGGTAAAGAACTTTTCGTAAATATACAAAAGTATTGTGTATAAAGTACGTACTTCGACACTTTTTCAAACTTTGGCGATCATTTACAACCGTTCAAAAGCACAAAATATTATAACTATCGATGTTAGCATATTCAGGAATCTCTCCTCTATCTTTTAAGATTAAGTGGAACTGTCTGATGTTTTTAATTTTCGCGTAATACCTTGTTTTTGTCCAAAATTGGACGTTTTCACAAAAACTCGTGTTTTTTCGAAAACTGAGGATGATATAGCAATTCTGTTTCCAGATTCGTGTTTAGGGTACGAAGCTCTATAAGAATTACCTAGTGGATATTGAAAAACAGAAAACAAAATTTAATTTGTAGAACAGTGTAATCTGGTAGTGGTGGTGTGATTCATTAATTCCTGTACACTTATTTCCGCAGAGGTAGCAGTCACTGTAAATGAATTTTTATTTGGATAGCAATCCATTTTTACTGTTTTTAATACTGAGTAACATGGGTAGAATTTTTTGTTAGTTTGCCTGATAATTTCGTATTGTCTTCTAGAAAGATCGGCTTCTACATACATTGCCAATGCCTGGAATGGTAACAATTGCGAATTTTGTTGTTGTGTACTTTTAGAATATGCTTTCTTATACTTATTTGCACGCCTTGGGGAAGTGGTTATCTCTTTCAGCATTTGGGAAGCATCTCTCATTCCACTGGTTTGTCATTTCATGCGAGCAGCAAAAATTAGTTGGTCCTTTTCCACTATGTTCCGTAATTCTTCTGTCTTCCTTTTTTTGCTTCGCTCGCTAGATTCTTCGAAAGTTTTTAGTGGCCGTCCCGATCGTGTTTTTATTTTAGTTACTTCAAATATTCCTTCAAGCCATTCTTGATTCTTTTGAAGAAAAATTTCTTCTTTTTTATGTGCCTCTGCCCATCTGTGTTTTATTTCCGATTTCACGTACGAAAATTTATGTTTAATTCCCTTTCTTTCATTTTCTGAATATTCTTCGCGGCTCAGAATGTAATTTTCAATGAATTTCAATTTATCATTGATATTGCAGTCTGTTTTGCGCAGTAGCACAATGTCGCACGCCAACTTAATATTGTGCGACTGTTTAGGGGGATATGCTTGGAGGCTCCAATATATGATATCCGCCAGATGAAGTCTTCGGTCTGCTTGGTAGTGTTCGGTGTTATTCTCGGTGTTACTTGTTTGATTTTTGGACTCAATCTGCTCTTTGGGCCAAGGTCGCCCAAAGAGCTAACCTCGCCATGGGCGTACCCAAGACCATGGGAGGAAGTATTAGTCGCTGATTGGTTTTTATTGTAAATACGCCGACCAATCATTTTGGCGGCGAAGTTGGTCGGTGGGAGGCGGCATATAACGGT